ATCTTTGGGCAATCCTCCAGGAGGCTTGGAGTAATATATCAAGTCAATGTTTGAATAAACTGACTGCTCGGATGCCTAGTGTTGTCCCTTATTATCAATGCAAAATGGTCACTAACTAAAGAGGATTTATGCTGATATTGCCCAAAAACCCTATTTTGTTCAGGCGTTTCCAAACTTTTGGAGGGCAGTGTATGTGGAAACTATGTACAGTAGTTACAAGCAAGGAATGTGACTCTAGACTAGAGTGTAAGTGGTTGTACTGTAGAAAGATCTTATGACTCTAAAAACCTGGCCAACAATAATAGAAGCCTATTTACCACAGGAAGTTTTCTTACTTGTACATGATGTCTTTCTTTATAGTGGTCATGACAGGAGACAAAGTTCTCAAGGTATTTCTCCAGCTCTATTTCTTGATTCATTGGTGGGTTTCATCATGTATGTGCTGAGACTTAACATTTGTATAAATCTGTCCATGTGATTATAGATCTGTGATTTTGGAGCATCTAAGTTTCACTCACACACCACACACATGTCTCTGGTGGGCACGTTCCCCTGGATGGCCCCGGAGGTCATTCAGAGCCTTCCAGTTTCTGAAACGTGTGATACATACTCCTATGGAGTGGTGAGTCTCTCTCTCTCCCTCTCTCTCTCTCTCTCTGTGTATGTGTGTGTGGGTGTGGGAAAACCCTTCACATGGTCAAATTTGACTACACATAATTCTGAACTGAAATATGTTTCACTTTTGCATGTATCTAGCATTTAATAGTTAGGGAATGCAACACGTGAACAAGGATAAAATTGTATTTAAATATTCCATTTCAATTCCACTGAAAGACATCAATAGACTGGAAAATAAATTTGCATTTAATTTCAATGTCTCTTTTTATACCCACTTTTATTTCTAACCTACAGCTGTTAAACTTTTAAATTGTTAATCTGGCTCCTTATCTACCTAACATGAAATATATTTATGCTCTCTTAAAGAGTTGTGAAAGAATATTCTAGGCAGAAAAACCCAGTTATGGTCAAAAACACTCAAAGGCATTTATAGCTACACAAATTATAATTGACACTGTACATTTCAGAATAATATCTGTTTCCCTCTGTGTGTGTGTTAGGTTCTGTGGGAGATGCTGACTCGTGAGATTCCATTCAAAGGGCTAGAGGGGCTGCAAGTGGCTTGGCTGGTTGTGGAGAAGAATGAGGTAAACCATAACTAATCATTTACAATCTACAGAACTCAGCGCTCTGTTTCTGTATAAACATAGTCTAAGCTGCTCTCTTTGATTTTTATCTGATCGGAGATACAGTACTGATACTCGCTCACACTGATCATGTGAAACCCTATTTCAACTCACCAAACCCAAAACCTTGTGTGCTGCAGAGTGATATGATCTTTTCCATGAGCTCTTTGTAGCTTGTTTGTTGAAAAGTGGATAGGATGATAATGTAGTGAGTGTGTGTTTTGCAGAGATTGACTATTCCCAGCAGCTGTCCTGCCAGTTTTGCAAACCTGATGAGGAAATGCTGGGAAACAGAACCAGTGGTAAGAATTCAGTCATTAGTCATGAACAAGATTGTGTTTACTCTCCAGAGCACAGTATCTGTTTCTGCAAACACAATCAATTCATGTTATGATTTATGATATTGCATGAAAGCCCTGCAATAAACTTTTAATAAAATATAATGCAAACAAGTCAAAATGCAACGTCTCTAGTTATTACCTTAATTTTGGTGTTAATCCCAAACTGTAGTCAGTTCAGTGTAGCAGAGCAGACACTTTTTCAACAAATTCACTAAGATGAGTAAGTCATCCTTATTATGACATGACGTGATGTTTCATGTTCTAAACTTCTAAATGTTTCATTTCACTTGAGTGAAATGGTAAGCTCTAAGAATCCAGGAGGCTTTTGTCATCTTTCCATCAGGCTTCAGTTTGTCAGGTCACATATCTCCTCAAACACTTTCCACACCCAGTTCAGTGAAGATGATAAATAGAAATTCACTGGCTCAGCCATCATCCGGCCAGTCAATAAGAGCAGTGCGAACCAGTTTAAAAAAAAATCATTTAAGACCCAATTCACAGCTAAACATGACGGTGAACTTTTAATAGTGTAATAAAAGGTTGTTTATAGGCTATGTAAGAATTTTTTTTCTATCTGTTAATGTACTTCAGATATACCATTTTATCTTGTAATGACTTGTTTCATCATGTCTTAGTACTGCATATGATTCACCAAGTATCTGTTTTCAGAGCCAGATGATGATGTATTGATATATTTAAAGGAGCATTTAATAGTAATGGAATATTCTGTCCTTTTGAATCGTTGCAGTAATACATGACTACTAGCCAACTGGGTGCCAGAATTAGCACAAACACGTTTATAGACTTACTGGCCTAAACATTATGCATTAAATTTGTTGGAAACCCTTGTAGGTGTACAGTTAGACAATAGAAATCATTTTCCTTGCGTAGTTATTCATATCAGCGTTAGTTTTGATCACAGGACACTGCTGGCTGAATATTTTTGTTTGGTGGAGTTTTCTGAAACCCAGCAGTGATTTTTGAGTGTGGTTTTTTTTTTTTTTTTTTTTAATAATCCCAGTAATGCTGCTAAATCTGATATAATACCATTTCATTGTCTCTGCTGTACTGAGAATGATCCACCAACAATAATATCTGGTCAGTAAATTGTCCATAGCAACAGATAGAGTGTAGTCACGAATAGTCCTAAAAACACACTTACATAGTAAGTGATAAACCAACAGTCTTATGTAAATTAGGACCACAGCAGAAGTTTTAGAAAGGTTGCCGTGAAAAGGTAATGCATTTTTGAATCTGCAATGATACATGTTTTTGTTCCATTGTAGAAAAGACCCTTGTTTAAAGAGATCCTGTCCATACTAGAGGCCATGTGCAATGACAGCCAGCTCTCTGACCAGTGCAACTCCTTCTTGCAAAACAAAGCAGAATGGAGGTAAGGTTGTTTACATTCACACACATATGTATATATATATATATATATATATATATATATATATATATATATATGTATATATATACATACACACACACACACACACACACACACACATGCAGTATATGGTCATGCACTGTTATGTACCACAATAAGTGGTGGGCAGTGGTGGCTCAGCAGTTGAGGCTGTGGGTTACTGATCAGAAGGTTGGGGGTTCAAGCCCTGGCACCACACTTGAATTTCACTGTTCTGTAATGGATAAGTGACAAATAAAGGCTTTTTCTAATGGAATATAAACCGCTTGTGATCTAACTCTGGGGATGCCTGTGTACTAAACACAACAGCTTTATTTAATATGAGTATTTAACCCATTAACATACTTAGGCCCTCATTTACTGTTTATCTGATCTGCAGTTAATATCTGCAAAGATATCTCCTGTAAAAAATGTTCAAGCTGATTTGTGACAGAATAGTTTGCAATGAATATGCACAATGAAAATCAGGTCAAGTAGAGTCATTTTGCACCCACAGTGATATTCACTAACTCTAAAAATCCCATATTAATTAAAATTAATACATCCAAAAAGCAAGTATTATATTTGTTTATAGCCATTTCAGCTATCTAGGTCCCTGGAGGACTAGTGGTTAGGCTTCATTGCACTCACTGTTATGGCCTGGGTTCGATTCCCGGCCAGGAAACCAACCCCAGCCACTGGGTTGCGTGCAACATTGTGCTCTCAGTGCCGGTCCCAGGCCCGGATAAAATCGGGGAGGGTTGCGTCAGGTTGCTCCGCTGTGGCGACCCCTAACAGAGGAACAACAACATAGTCGTTTCAGCTATCTGAAGATAAAATAAAGATGTAATTATATTAAAGTTTCTCAAGTTCATGCCCCAGTATCTCAAAATATTATGAACGTGTCTTTAATTAGGACAGTATTACTGCAGAAAAGTTTACTTTACATTTATTATTAACACACAGTCATGCTTTCACTCTTAATTTGCTCCTATTGTGTTTTGAACAATTTTTTAACACTTTAACACTCATAACATTTAATTAGTGTTATAATGGAATTTTAGTCTACTCTTCAGGGATCTGAGGTCCCCACTACAATCAAGAAGAAATAACACACAATTTAAATATTGGTTCCTCCCCTACCTTTTTTGGGATGTCAGGAAATCAGTTCATTGGACTCCATGAAATTGGGGGAGTCTTTATAACAATGTCATAAACCTGCCAATCTGCAATTCAAAAATTCATGTAGTCATTCTTTCATTACAAATCCTATATGCTAGCTGGAGCACAGAATCTAAACAAAAATGATGTCTATTTAATTACTGCGCTGCATATAGTGTGATAGCTGAATTTCAAATATAAAAGTTAGCTACGTGATGGCAGCTGATTAGTTAGATAGGCTTATTTGGTGGGAGTAAAACATAGTCAGTATGAAGCATTCCCACCATGCAGGCTGGGGCTTCAGTGTTTTGGTGCTGTGACAGACAGCTGTAGAAGATTCTGGGTGTATGATGTTAGACCTATATTAAGATCGGCTGGAAGAGGCCCCAAGAGCAGAACAAGAGATTCTCGTCTTTCAGGTCCTTCCTACAGAAAGAGAGAAAGTAAAAGTAGCAAATGTGATGTCTGGAAAACAAGTAAGCTAAGGGCACATGTGAATGTGAAATTCCATGTGCGATTGTCGAGTAAGTGACAAGCAAGGAAAGCAATTACATGGGAAGTTTGGAGTGGGAGTAGAAGCCTGGCTGGAGGGCGCTGAGTGGGAGGTCCGGGTTGCGTCACACGCTTCTTTATAAATAACTGCGGGGGACAAAAACCTGCAGCCTACCCACTGCCCCCTCTGGTGGCCTTTATGGTGATCACAGCGGTCAAACTATGCTCATTAGTAGAAATAATGAGACTGACAAATACCAAATGAGTCCACTACTAAGAAGTGTTATTATGAAAGACAAGTTTTTTGTTAAATGATATCATATTTTACAAGATAAAATTACTATTCATTATTATGAATCAAAAGATATTCTGCCCTATTGAAAACAGTAATGGCAGTAATGCCTACCTACTCATTCAAATATCAGGAGTAAATCAATAAGACACTATTCGGTGTCACCCAATGCGTTTCTCTTCAGATTTTTTACCCATGTCATCTCAGGGGGGTCTTTCTTTACCATTGTCACTTCTGGTTTGCTCATCCAGATTTCTGTAAACCTGCTTTGTAGCCATGTCTATTGTCAAAAGCGCTGTGAAAACAGAATAAAATAGAATTGAGTTGAAATTAAAACTAAATGTAAAGCCGGTGAATAAAACAGGAAGTAATAGAGACTTTTGAACCCCGTGATATGTCTGTGATGGTTGAATTGGTGTGCGGGTTGGCCTCTGTGAAAGAGTACACCTGTGATATGAAGACTGAGGTGTTTGTGTAATGTTTCTCTGTGTGAAGGCGTGAGATTGAGGCAACTCTGGATCGCTTGAAGAAGCTGGAGAGGGATCTGAGCACTAAAGAGCAGGAGCTGAAGGAGAGAGAGCGCCGCCTCAAGATGTGGGAGAAGAAACTCATAGAGCAGTCCAACACTCCAGTGAGTCCTCTCTCTCTCACCCTGTCTCTCTCTTTTTCACATCATCACCTGCCAGCTTTCTCATACACACGCACTCAGTGTAAGGGAGGAGTTAAATGCATTGTGAAAAGAATCATTCGGTTTGGTTTATGCTGCTGCTCTACACAGCATGCTGACAGATATTAATCTGGATGTGTTCACATGGTCTGCTTGAATGCTTGCGGAGCACAAATAGGGAGACAGTCATGAACATTTAGTGGCACAAACTTGTTGGCTTTCCTCATTTTCACATTTCACCTGCTGCTATTCTGTATGACCATTCCTATCATCATGGAAAGAAATCACTAATTTCCTCTTTTCCATCTTGTATTTGAGTTTGGTTTCGCTATTTGTTTATGTCTATTTGTCTATTTACTCCCCCTCTTTCCATTTCCATTCTCATTTTGTCTCGTTTTCCCTTTCTCCCATCCTCTTCTCTTTCTCCTCTCTCTTCTCTATCTCCCTTTCCTTTTCCCCTCTCCTCTCAGCTCTTTGCTCCCCTGGCCACTAAGATAAGTTCGGAGTCGTATTTTGAGACTAAGGTGGAGGAGTCAAAGAGCTCGGAGCTGTCGTGTGAGATAAGGGGCTGCTGTAATGGAGAGCTGGGCGCTTTGGCTCTGCAGGCTGTGATGAAAGGCTTCGAGGACGTGTTCAGCCTGGATGCCCCCTCTATCCCTGTCTTGCACTCGGACATGCAGGTCAGCATGCAGGCCACGCAGAACTCCTCCAAGACCTGTTCCATGCGCGAAGGACACAAAATCAGCATGGCTGCCTTTAGCTGGTCTGATGACAGTGACAGCGATTAGAAATAGCTCCTCTTGGTTAATTAGCCAGCCTCAAAAACTGTGGTCTTATACCAGCTTTCCTCACTGTTCGCAAAAGTATTGAAGATATTACTCATGTTCTAAAAACAAATGTTACCTGTAAGATTTTAGATCTATTTGTAAGAAAGATCTATGTAGTCCTGATATCGCAATTATTACACTTTTTTGTTGGTTTATTTCTTAAGTAATAACACCATGTTTTTTTTTTTTTCAAAACACAAACTTTTTATGAAAGACCTATTAATATATAGAAACCTCCGACTGAGCTAAGAGCTGAAAGTGATAATTGTGTCCCACTCCTACGTATGGACTGCATTAGACCTGCCGGTCCTACGCCTACAGAGTCCTTATGGATGTCATTTATGGCAAATGAAGTGGACGTATAGCAGCGTGCTGAGGGGCGAGCGAGCCGCGTGTCAGCCTAGAGAAGATTCGTCGCTTTTATGATGAAGTGACATTTTGCTGACATTAAGATTGGCCAATTTGAGCAGTGAGGCTGGGAGATACTCACATAGGCAAGAAAGGCTAGAACATGAGAGAGAGAGAGAGAGAGAGAGAGAGAGAAAGAAAAATTCCCTTCTGTAAAACTTTGTGAAGCTTTGCTACAAAAGACTGAGTAAACCTATCTTTGTGTTCTTGGATTATCTAAAAAAAATCATTCGATTGGATGAGCTACAAAATTCACATAGTCAAGAACATAACATAAATATGTTGCTGAACATATTTGTTCCTACATATTTTCATGAATTTGATGCAGTTTAGATTTGTATATGTTACAGTTGAATTGAAAGAAAGCATAATAATAACTGCATGATTTATCAGGGTAAATACCTCGCATATGATCTATACACAGATATGAATGAGGTCACACTTTTGCTTTTGTTCATTAAAACACGTAATGAAATGTTCACATTCTAATATTTATTCCTTTTATGTTTTTTACTTGTAGTGCCCTTGTTTGCAGTATCACATTATTATTCCTACCCAGACTTTGATAATGTTTGCTTTTAACAATCAAATTAATTTAGAACTCATATTCGTTAGAACACTCATATACAGTATATATATATTATAGAAGGTTTTGCATTTGTATTTGCAGTTTTATCTTAGATCCAGTGTTTTCCTTTGACATTATACTATTCATATTCTGTTTTCTTTTTTTGATCCTGTCTCTTTCTGCCTTTTGCAATAAACTTTGTCACAAAAAATATGCTTAAACTCTCTTACTTCTGTATTTTGCTTGTTATGCTTTGCATAAATCTAATTTAAACTCCTGTTTTGTGGATTTTAATCATAAACACAAGTGTATGACGATTCAGATGACATGATTTCAGGAGACAAATGTGCCACTACTTAAACACTGACTATACATAACACACATAATAAAGCGCATGTACACTGCAACTGCAATTCTTTTAGATCAAGAATGGCAAAAATCTTGTGGGGCTGCATTGTGGGGCTGCGTTGTGGGGTTGCATCGATGTGCCCCCGAATAAGCTCTGTTTTCAATGTGATCTCTGGACGTGATGTGTGGATGTGTTCCTGTGGCGTCAACTGAACATAAGGTCAAATCATGGCCATAGTCTCTCACATAACACCAGCAGGACAGAGCGCACTCTGCACCCTGCTGAACTCTGCTGAGCTCTTAAGGAATTTCAATTACAGAGTCATTTGTGCTGACTGTCTCTACACCTCCCTTCATCCCATCTCTTCTTTGTCAAGAGTCTGCTTCCCATCCTTATAAAACCGTGCAAGCCAGTTGTGAAGTACAAGATGGCTGCTTGAAATGCACTGTTATGTCACTCTAATTAGGCACATGTATGTCATGGAGCGTTGGCGTGTGGCAGATGTTTCGTTTCTTTATATATGTATATTATCATTTTGTTTACATCCTCTGACATGAGTCTTACACAGACGGGGGAGTCGAGGGCCCATCTGGCTACACAGAGGGAAAACACAACAGTTGTGCTTTCTCTCCCTGTTTCCATCTCTTTCTCCATATATTTTCATGCACATGTAAGAAGTTTGACAAACTCCATGCACAGATTACTGATTCATTTTGATTTCCTTCACCATCTTTTTGCACAGCAGTGTTCTTGTGCTATATTACCTGCTAATAATGAGATTTGTGTTTTGACTGGCATTTAACTTTTAATGCATCTGTCCCCCCCTGGAGTTTGTTAGGACATTTCATACAAAAGTGCTGCATATTATATTTAGTATGCATTTTAGCTTCATAAAGAATTGATGGAATTCCTGTTAACTTA